TACAGGCATGACCCACTGTACCTGGCCACTTAAATTCTTCTATGCTATTTTCAAGGAAACATGATCCAGCCTCAGTTTTGAACCTAGCTAAAGTGGGGGTAGAATTCTTGGGGAAATTTTGCCTCTTAACACCCATACTATTTTGAAATAACTACGTGGAACTAAGTTCCATCAGCCTTGTGATACTTGGGGAAAGTAATGTCAGGGGGTCTTAGTTTGTGACTTGGCATTTGCTAGAGGTTTCATTTTGAACAGTCACATTTCCTTGGAGGGAAAGGACAAGGAAGGATAGTAGTTTCCTAAAAGCATTCCCATTGAAGAGAAACATTGTTTCATTTCATGTAGTTTGCTGCATACTTTATTATACAGGATTGTGAAAAGTAAATTCCATGTTTCCTAAATGAAGAAATAGGCTCAAGATAAAATCCTGTCCCAAATTCCTGCAGCCAGTGGATCAAATAACCCCATTGATTGATTTCCAAAACTGTTCCACCTTGTTGAGGTCAATACACCAAACGTGTGATAATAGGATGGTCTTCTTCACTAGTGATAATGATGAGTGGGAGATTCTGACATCCCTTAGGTGAACTAATAAAATTTCTGAACAGCTAGCTCAAGCCCCTACCCTTCGCGACTTGAAATTTGGAAACATTGCCAGGCACGGTGGCTTATGCCTATAATCCCAGCACTTTGGGAGGCCAAGGTGGGAGGGTCACTTGAGGTCAGGAGTTTGAAATCAGCCTGGCCAACATGGTGAAAACCTGACTCTACTAAAAATGCAAAAATTAGCCTGGCGTGGTGGCAGGTGCCTGTAATCCCAGCTACTCAGGAGACTGGCAAGAGAATCTCTTGAACCCGGGAGGCAGAGGTTGCAGTAAGCTGAGATGGTGCTGCACTCCAGCCTAGGAGACAGTGAGCGAAAGACACTGTCTCAAAAAAAAAAAACTTAAATGTGGAAATATTGGATGGCTCATGCCTGCAATCCTAGCACTTTGTAAAGCTGAGATGGGCAGATTACTTGAGCCCAGTAGTTCAAGACCACCCTGACCAACATGGTGAAACCCTGTCCCTATTAAAAATACAAATGTGGCTGGGCACAGTGGCTCCTGTAATCCTAACACTTTGGGAGGCTGAGGCAGGCTGATCACCTGAGGCCAGGAGTTCAAGACCAGTCTGATTAACATGGAGAAACCCCCTCTCTGCTAAAAATATAAAATTAGCCGGGCGTGTTGGCCCATGCCTGTAATCCCAGCTACTTGGGAAGTTGAAGCAGGAGACTCTTGAACCCAGAAGGTAGAGGTTGCAGTGAGCCAAGATCACGCCATTGCATTCCAGCCTGGGCAACAAGAGCAAAACTCCATCTCAAAAAATATATATTAGCCAGGCATGGTGGCATCTCCCTTTAGTCCCAGCCACTCAGGAGGCTGAGATGGGAGGATTGATTGAGCCTGGGAGGTTAAGGTTTTAGTGGGCCAAGATTACCCCACTGCACTCCAACCTGGGAGACTGTGAGACCCCATGTCTTTTTTTTTTTTTTTTGTAGACAGTCTCTCTCCGTTACCCAGGCTGGAGTTTCAGGGGCAGTGGCTCGGATCTCAGCTCACTGCGACCTCCTGGGTTCAAGCAATTCTGCTTCAGCCTCCCAAGTAGCAGGGACTGCAGGCGCAAGCAACCATGCCTGGCTAATTTTTGTATTTTTAGTAGAGATAGGGTTTCACCACATTAGCCAGAGTGGTCTCGAACTCCTGACCTCAGGTGAGCCACCCACCTCAGCCTCCCAAAGTGCTGGGATTAGAGGCATGAGCCACTGCACCCAGCCCTATCTCTATTTTTTAAATGTGGAAACACTTTAACTTTTTGTGAGAACATAAATTGACAAATTGGACATTTTCAAATTTGTTAGGAATAGGAAGCTTACACTGGGTGTGGTGGCTCATGCCTATAACAGCACTTTGGGAGGCAGAGATGGGAGAATCACCTGAGGTCGGAAGTTCAAGACCAACCTGACCAACATGGAAAAAACCCTGTCTCTACTAAAAATACAAAAAAAAAAAAAAAAGCCAGGCATGGTGGTACATACATGCCTGTAATCTCAGCTATTTGGGAGGCTGAGGCAAGAGAATCACTTGAACCCGGGAGGCAGAGGTTGCAGTGAGCCCAGATCGAGCCATTGCACTCCAGCCTGGGCAGCAAAAGCGAAACTCCATCTCAAAAAAAAAAAAAAAAAAAGTAATAGCTTACTCCGGAGGCTGGAGTGGGAGGATCACTTGAGCCCAGGACTTCAAGGTTGCAGTGAGCCATGATTGTGCCACTGCACTTCAGACAGTGCAATAAAACAAGACCCTGGTTTTTTGTTGTTGTTGTTGTTTTGAGACAAGTCTTGCACTGTCACTCAGGCTGTAGTGCAGTGGCGCAATCTCAGCTCACTAAAGTCTCCACCTCCTGGGTTCAAGCAATTCTCCTGCCTCAGCCTCCCGAGTAGCTGGGACTACAGGCGTGCACCACCACGCCCAAGTAATTTTTTTGTATTTTTAGTAGAGACAGGGTTTCAACATGTTGGCCAGGATTGTTTTAATCTACTGACCTCGCGATCCGCCCACATCGGCCTTCCAAAGTGCTGTGATTACAGGTGTCAGCCATCATACCCTGCCAAGACCCTGTCTTTTTAAAATAAGCTTCAGGTCGGGCACAGTGGATCACACCTGTAATCCCAGCACTTTGGGAGGCTGAGGCAGGCAGATCGTGAGGTCAGGAAATCAAGACCATCCTAGCTAACATGGAGAAACCCTGTTTCTACTGAAAAATTTAAAAATAGCCAGGTGTGGTGGCATACACCTGTAGTCCCAGCTACTCGGGAGGCTGAAGTAGGAGAATCGCTTGAACCCAGGAGGTGGAGGTTGCAGTGAGCCAAGATTGCACCATTGCACTCCTGCCTGAGCGACAGAGCAAGACTCCATCTCAAAAAACAATAAAGGAGGCTTCAAGTTGCTTTCATTCCCAAACTTGGGCTAGATACCATGTTCTTTATCTCCCTATCACTCTGCTGCTTTTAGGTCTCAGTATCTGATAGTCTAGCTCTGCCGCTCAGGCTGGAGTACAGTGGCATGATCATAGCTCACTGCAGCCTCGAACTCCCAGGCTCAAGCAGTCCTCTCACCTCAGCTTCCAACATAGCTGGGACCACAGGCATGTGCCACTGCACCCACCCACTAATTTTTTTTTTTTTTTTTTTGTAGAGACAGGGTCTCCCTATGTTGTCCAGGCTGGTCTTGAGCTCCTGGGCTCAAGCCTGTGGTGTCTATATCAGAACTTGGATACAAGTTTTTTTGTCTTTTTATTTTTTTCCAGGCCCTGGATGTAAGGTTTTAATGTTGGAATGGACATAGTAGAGCTAGTAAAATTGAACAAAAGTAAAATATTCTGAAGAGGGAAGCTGTGTAACTCAGTGACTGGGAATATTGGAGACCACACAACTCCAAGCAAGAGGACTGTGTGGTGTCAGGGATGTTTGACTGGATTTTAACTGATATGGCTAAGAAATCTGAAACTTAGTCAATTATATTCAAGAAGAAAAAAATTAATAAAAATAATCTAGGCCACACAGCGTGGCTCACACCTGTAATTCCAACACTTTGGGAAGCCAAGGCAGGCAGATCATTTGAGATCAGGAGTTCGAGACTAGCCTGGCTAACATGGTGAAACCCTGTCTCTACTAAAAATATATATATTAGCCAGGTGTGGTGGCAGGTGCCTGTAATCCCTGCTACTCAGGAGGCTGAGGCAGGAGAATTGCTGGAACCCAGGAGGCAGAGGTTGCAGTGAGCCAGGATCATGCTACTGCACTCCAACCTGGGTAATAGAGCGAGACTCCATCAAAAAAAAAAAAAAAGCGGCCCAGCACTTTGGGAGGCTGAGCTGGGCAGATCACGAGGTTTGAGACCAGCGTGGCCAAAATAGTGAAACCCCGTCTCTACTAAAAATTCAAAAATTAGCTGGTTGTGGTGACACGCACCTATAGTCCCAGCTACTCAGGAGGCTGAGGCAGAAGAATCGCTTGAACCCGGCAGGTAGAGGTTGCAGTGAGTCAAGATAGCACCATTGCACTCCAGCCTGGGCGATAGAGCGAAACTCTGTCTCAAAAAAACAAACAAACCGGAATTGGGTAGTGTTTATGTAACATAACCAGAGAAAAAATGTTTCACAGGAATATTTTACTCCACTGTGCAGCAGATTTTATTTACCAAAGTTTGGGTGTGAAATCCGAAATTTTGGTGTATAAATTCCAGTCAAGAACAGCCCACTCAGTCTTCTGAGAGAACTCTGGCACATTAGGACCCAGGCTGAGAGGTAAGCAGGAGGGAAGAAAAAAAGAAAGGCCATAGGGCCGCCTGTAATCCCAGCACTTTGGGAGGCCGAGGCGGGTGGATCACGAGGTCAAGAGATCAAGACCATCCTGGTTAACATGGTGAAACCCCATCTCTACTAAAAATACAAAAAATTGGGCATGGTGGCGCGTGCCTGTAATCCCAGCTACTCAGGAGGCTGAGACAAGAGAATTGCCTAAACCCGAGAGGTGGAGGTTGCGGTGAGCCGAGGTCGCACATTGCACTCCAGCCTGGGTAACCAGTGAAACTCCGTCTCAAAAAAAAAGAAAGGCCTGTGGGCATTCTGGGCTTTTTTGTGCTGGGAGGATTGAGAGAAGAGAGATCTAAATATCAGGAACCTTTGCCTATGGGGTCTAGCCAGTTTTGGCAGCTCTCCAAGCGCTAATAGAGCACCACCAGGGAGTGCAGGGATCTCCCGATCATCCATGACCCCTCACTCTGAAAAGGGGATGAAGGTGGTAGATCCCCAAACTGCTCAAGCCCAAATGTTATGTGTACCTCTCATACAGAGCTCTGGGAGGAATGAAATGAACTTGGTAAGATTCCCTCCCTACCCCAAACAGATAGTGATCTCAGCTTCATCACCCTCCCTCAAGAAGAAAGACACAGTGAAAGGCTATTTCTGTATCGCACTTTATAGACCAAAGCTTGGACAAGAGGTGGAGGCTGAAGACCTGAGAAGCTGAGTCAGGGAAGACAGATTCCAGCCCTCCCTCAAGGCAAGCCTCTTTGAACACACCTTGGAACTTCTAAACACCCATTCCCATTGTCATCCTCGTCTGGTCTAGAGAACTCAGCTCTTTCTGGCTCTCAGGGTTGGGGAGTACCTTTATCAGAAGGGAATGAAGAAAACCCCATCACCAGTTCCACCCCTCTGCGCCAGCTCAGTCTGTGGCCTCCATCTTGGTCCCCCGGGGCACCAGGAAGATGGTCCCATCGGCAGCCTGTTGCAGCGCATACTCTTCAGGAGAGTAGCTGTTGCCTGATTCATCCCGAAGGTGCTGGAAAATGTCACGATATAGCTCTGTCAGCTGTTGGCGCATGACCTCCAGGGTCCGGTCGGCCTCCCCGCGGGCCCTGAGAAGCCGCTCCCGCTCATTGCTCAGCCGCTCCAGCTCCCGCTCCAGCTGCACTATGGTTTCCAGCTTCCTCTTGCGGCAGTTCTGGGCTGCCACCTTGTTTTTGCCCCGTCGTCGGATGTCCCGGACTAGCGCCAGCTGGCTCTCTGTCAGCGGGTACCTCGCCAATAGCTCATTAAAGTCATCTACCGGCAAGTTGACAATCTTGTCTGTAGGAAAAGGAATCTTCATGGCCAAGGCCCGACGTTCATCCCGACTCCCTGCCTCCCCCCGTGCAGTGGGCTTAGCCCGCACAGGGCCTGAGGAGGGCTCTAAGGCCGAGGGGGTCTCAGCAGCTGGCAAGGTATAGTTGGAGTGGGCCAAGGAGTTGGGCATGAGTGAGTAGGGGTACTCCACTGGGTACATCTCTACATATTCGCTGCGCCGCCGACCAGCCTCTGTCCCCTCCAGCTCAAGGGATTCAGCATCGCTATAGTTGAGGGATAATCCTGAGTCGGATTCTGGGTCTTCTTGGGGCTTAGGTGGTCCCGCTGGCAGCCCAATGTCCAGGAGGGCTAAGGGGTCTGGGAGCGGCTCACTGAGCAGGCCTGAGAGGGTCAGTGGCTTGGAGACTGGTATAGCCATGTTGCCATAGGAGTATGGGGGATCTGGGACATGGGATGTGGATGCTGGGAGTTCATAAGGTGGTGGAGGAAGTGGGAAGCCAGCGTCTGGGTGGATTGAGCAGGGGCAGTAAGCTGTGGGTGGTGGAGGTCCAAGGTATGGGGCTGGGGCTTGGGGCTCAAACGATGGCTCACTTGGAGCATTTAGACCCTGTAAAGAAAGACACAAAGAGATTTGGAGATAGACTAAGGAAGAGAAACCAACACTCTCTAAGGACCAAGTTGAATTCTTCTGAAAGACCCAGTGAGATAGTAACAAGGAAACAAAGTTGCCACAAATCTTTGGAAGCTACTTGCAAAGTTGTGATACAGTTGTTCCAAGAAAAATGCAGTTTAAGATGGGGTGCAGCAGCTCACACCTGTAATCCTAGCACTATGGGAGGCCAGTGCAGCAGATTACCTGAGGTCAGGAGTTCAAGACCAGCCTGGCCAACATGGTGAAACCCCGTCTCTGCTAAAAAAACAAAAATTAGCTGGGTGTGGTGATGAACGCCTGTAATCCCAGCTACTTGGGAGGCTGAGGCAGGAGAATTGCTTGAACTCGGGAGGTGGAGATTGAAGTAAGCCAACATGGTGCCACTGTACTCCAGCCTGGGCAACAGAGCAAGACTCCATCTCAAAAAAAAGAAAAAGAAAAGAAAAGAAAAGAAAAATGCAACTTTGGCAAGAATGGAAGTCACTGAGGTTGGACTGCAGAAAAGACTAACATTGGAACAATTATGAACACTCCTTCTTGGAGAAGTTCTAACTGGGTTAAAATGGCTCATGTTCCTTTATTTCCTTCAGGAAGTCAAAGCCTTGTTCTCCAAGATGACCTCTCAGAACCCTTTCCTGCTGCAGTTATCTAGGGTTGAAGGGTCAAGTTCAGATTCTGGCCATGCCCCGGATGCCCAGCAGAGGGAGCTGCTGTGTGGAAAGAGTGCCTAGGGCAGATCCTGAGGGTGCTAGGCATGGTGGCAGGGCAGAAAAAGGGGTCAGGCGTGGGGCTAAGAAGCTCCTTGGGGAGCCAGCACAAGCTCTGCCCTCTCCTCTTTAGTCCCTCTGTCCCTGCCCAGGTGCAGCGAGAAGAAGAGAACATGCTGGAAACAAGGCCCCCAACCCACATAGGGGAGCAACCCTGCTCTAGCCCAGCTGGGGACAAAGGCATCATTGTTAGGCCAACAGACACCCCTTTGTCCAAGTAGCAGGAGGAGAGGACCCTGGCATAGTCCGACTCCCCTTCCAGAGGCCCCTGAACTACTGCTCTGCTACCTGGGGGAAAGCGGCCTAGTTGCTAAGGGCAGGGGGAGGAAATGAGGGAAGAAGATGGCAGGATCAGAGAGAGAGGTCAGAAGAGAAGAAGGTGAGCAAGGGAGGGAGAGCAGGAGTGGGAGTGTGTAGAGAGAGATGTGGCTGCTGAGAGAGCCTACACTCTCAATCAGACCCTTCCCTCCTCACCACTGCTCTTCCACTCCTCAATGTTCCTCAGTGCCTTCCATCCAGATCTTTCCCAGCCCTTCCTTTTCCAGTGCCTGGAGCATTACCAGCCTGATCCCTGCTTGCTCCCAGCTTCAGTGCAGGCCAACTCCCTGCTTCTCTCTTCTCTGACACACCCCTCCCCTGCCTCCCCCTCCTTACTCACCTGCAGCTCGGTGATGGACATGATCTCCTGCCAAGTCAGTTCCATCTCTCCTAGTTCTGAAGTACACAGCTGTATCACTCTGTTCCTGCTCTGCTGGGGAGGACACGGGGACATCCTACTGGGCCAGAGTGTGGTCCAGGTTCCCCCAAAGCCCAGATGGCTCTAGAATCCTGTGTCAAAGAAAAGAGGTGCTAGAGCAACACCTGCTAGGGTCAGCAAGTTTGCGCTACCTCCTTGGAAGGGATCCCTCTCCCTGGAAGGAGAGACCTCTTCCTCCCCACCCTCACTCATGCTGGACTCATCAACCAATCCCTTAAAATGGGGTGTGATCTCCACTTCGCTGACTACGGCCACAATCAATTCCTTTGGCAGCACAGGAGGTCTTTACCTTTTTTCCAGGAAAAATGCCCACTCTTTCCCCTCCTTTTTAGCCCCTAAAACTGTTTTCCTGGCTAGGGGCAGAGTCAGGTCTTCTGCTTTTCTGTTTTGCTATGTTTTCTTTTCCATTTTCTAGGGCAGCATCAGGGGTGCCCTCCTTTCCTCCTCTGTCCTCAGTGTTAGGTTCTCACCCTTTTCTTTCCAAGATGATGACAATATATGCTTGGGGATCCCCAAGAGCATGTTGTGGAAAGAGTCAAGCAGACAACCCCTCCCCCTCTCCAAGATATGGCCCAGGCCTGGCGGCTGATAGCAGCTCTGCCCTCTCCTCCTATCCTGGCCCTGGGCTCCCCTGCCTAGGCCAGATAAGAGGTTTATCAGCTGCAGGCAGGAGAGGCACAGAAGGAATGGGCTCTGGAGACACTGGACCTCGGTCCTGTGTCCTCACAGGGTCATTTGGTCCACACCCGAACCCATACAACCACAAGCCTTTCCTCTTCTGCGGTAATATAACAACCTTAGTAAAGACTTAGTAAGCACTTGTTAAGAACTGTACTGGGGTGTTGCAAGCTTAGTTTGTAAGATTGGTTTTCATAAAGATTCTAAAGGTGCATCAGACACCGAGACTGAAGCTGATAAATAAAAGCAGGATGAAGTCTAGAACCTGACTCTACTCAACTATAATGTCTTCTAGGCACTTCCCATCCTGCCCCTGTATCTCCATACTCCAAAGCTCTGTTGGAAATCTACATTCGTCAGTTCTTTCTGTGGAGTGTCAGTCTCTCTTTCACCTTCTTGTCAATATCGCTTTAGAGCCTTGAATACACTCTCCCCTCCAGTCCCTTGTCTTTTGACCTGGGTTCTAGTTGTAGCTCTGCCACAAAGCAGCAGTGTGATGTTGGGCAAGCCGTCTCACTTCTCTGGGCCTCTGTTTCCTCATTTGTAAAACCAGGGAGTTGGACAAGTTGACCTTGGAGGTCCCTTTCTGCTTGGAATTCTCAGCAAACCCTCTCCCCTGCCTTTATCTTCTCTGTCAGTCCCTCTCCTCATGCTACCTCCCTATTCCCTAACACCACTTTCCTCGAATCTGTTTTCCCTGCCTTCAGCAAGAGATTCCAAGTAGATTTGGCAGAGCCTTCCTGATCTCTTGGAGTCAGACACTGTGTGTATATTGCACACACACAGACATACCCTAACATATAAGTAAAGGGAAGCAGACTAGGGTAAAGGAAACATAGGAGAGTGGAAGCATTTTGGGAGGCTGAGGTGGGAGGATCGCTTAAGCCCAGGAGTTTGAGATCAGCCTGGCGAACATGGTGAAAACCCATCTCCACTAAAAATGCAAAAATTAGCCAGGCATGGTGGCACACGTCTGTGGTCCCAGCTACTCAAGAGACTGAAGGGGAAGGATCATTTGAACCTGAAAGATTAAGCCTGCTGTGAGCCATGATTGTGCCACCACATTCGAGCCTGGGTGACAGAGCAAGACCCTGTCTCAGAAAAAAAAAAAAGAGGCCAGGCAGCACAGTAGCTCACGCCTGTAATACCAGAGCTTTGGGAGGCTGAGGCAGGTGATCATCTGAGGTCAGGAGTTTGAGACCACCCTGGCTAACATGGTGAAACCCCATCTCTACTAAAAATACAAAAAATTAGCTGGGCATGGTGGCGCGTGCCTGTAATCCTAGCTACTCAGGAGGCTGAGGCAGGAGAATTGCCTGAACCCAGGAGGTGGAGGTTGTGGTGAGCTGAGATCTTGCCATTGCACTCCAGCTTGGGTAACAAGAGCGAAACTCCGTCTCAAAAAAAACAAAAAAAATTTTAAAAAAAAGAACGGAGGATAGGACTGTACGACCTCAAATTGCATGACCTTAGACCGCTCACCACAAGGATGGCCCATCACAGCAATTTAATATGGAAACTGCTCTTTGACTTACTACAAAATTAGTAGGAACTACAAATGATCCTTTTGAAAGAGTGTCCCCTAGCCCTTGCCTCCATCCCCTTGTTATATTGTATCCCCATAGATGGGAGTTGGTGTAGGCAACTCTGCCAGTGGGCAGAGTGGGTGGGGTGTTTATGTCTGCCCAGGATGCCATTTCAACACCGGAACTCCACCCTCCTCCACCCAGGTTCTGGCGGAAATTGCCCAAAGGCAAAGTGAATGGAGAAGGGGTTTAGGGCGCAGAGACAATAACTCTTGCTTCATAGTTCTTTACTCACCCCAACCCCCCATTGTCTCTCCTTTTATCTTCCTGGATCTGACACTAAGGTGCAGTACACAGATCCTGCCCTAGGAGGCAGGAGACCTAGGTTTTCTGGCACTTAAGATACATGAGGCTGAGGTCGGTGGATCACCTGAGGTCAGGAGTTCAAGACCAGCCTAACCAACATGGAGAAACCCCATCTCTACTAAAAATACAAAATTAGCCAGGCATGGTGACATGAACCTGTAGTCTCAGCTACTGGGGAGGCTGAGGCAAGAGAATCACTTGAACCCGGGAGGCAGAGGTTACAAGATCACACCATTGGGGAGCAAGAGCAAAACTCTGTCTCAAAAACAAAAAGATATACAACCTTGGGCAAATTGCTTCACACTCAGCCCCTTCTATTAAATGGAGACAGGACTAGGAACCCAATTGCTGTGAAAGGCCTTACGTTGCATCTAGCTCAGGGAGTCACAAACTTCATTGTGTGCCACATTCACCTGAGCTACATGTAAAAACACAGATTCCTGAAAGCCACTTCTAATCTACTGAATAGAAACCATAGACCCAGGAATCAGCATTTTAAAAGTGCCCCAGTGGCTGTGTGCAGTGGCTCGTGCTTGTAATCCCAGCACTTTGGGAGGCTGAGATGGGTGGATCACCTGAGGTCAGGAGTTTGAGACCAGCCTGGCCAACATGGCAAAACCTCATCTCTACTGAAAATACAAAAATTATCTGGGTATGGTGGCAGGCACCTTAGGAGGCTGAGGCATGAGAATTGCTTGAACCCAGGATGTGGGTTCAAGATAATGCCACTACACTCCAGCCTGGGTGACAGAGTACAAAAAAAAAAAAAAAAAGAAGAGGAGCAAGAGGAGAAGGAGACTGGGGGAGAGGGAGTGGAGAAGAACCTCTGGATCCAATCCAACCAGCAAGCTCTTGGGTGCGGTAGCAAGTTTGTACCAGGTGGCACATGGGGCAGGATGCTTTTCTCTAGACACTCAAGGATGGGTGTCTAGAGAAGACACTCAGGCATAGGTCCCTCTGGGTCTCCAGAGCCTTCCTTTCAGAGGACATGAGAGCTGGCAAGCAGTGGGACAGATCAGGGAGGTAGAATTGGATGAAATAGAACACCATAGAAGGTATAGAAACTGGAGAGATACTAGGAAAGTGAAGTGGGCTTCCCTGTGTTTTTTTGCTTTTAAAATAAGAAGCTCCTACTTTACAGTTTAGCTTGCATTTTGAGGCCACATGACTATCTTACTCCCACTGGGTTGTCTGTTCCTTCTCTTACTCCCCAACATTGTGGATCAGGTAGAAATGAGGTTGTCACTCCTCCTTACTCTTATCTTGGTGGTCCTACCCAGAAAAAGTTTTATCATAATGCCTAAGTACTAACAGAATGATATGGAGCTTCATGCTTAGGAATACAGAGTGGGGCCGGGTGCAGTGGCTCAAGCCTGTAATCCCAGCACTTTTGGGAGGCTGAGGCGGGTTGATCATGAGGTCAAAAGTTCGAGACCAGCCTGACCAACATGGTGAAACACCATCTCTACTAAAAATACAAAAATTTGGGCCGGGCACGGTGGCTCAAGCCTGTAATCCCAGCACTTTGGGAGGCCGAGGCGGGTGGATCACGAGGTCAAGAGATCGAGACCATCCTGGTCAACATGGTGAAAGCCTGTCTCTACTAAAAATACAAAAAAAATTAGCTGGGCATGGTGGCGCGTGCCTGTAATCCCAGCTACTCAGGATGCTGAGGCAGGAGAATTGCCTGATCCCAGGAGGTGGAGGTTGCGGTGAGCCGAGATCGCGCCATTGCACTCCAGCCTGGGTAACAAGAGCGAAACTGTGTCTCAAACAAAACAAAAATTAGCCAGTTGTGGTGGTGAATGCCTGTAATCCCAGCTACTCGGGAGGCTGAGGCAGAAAAATAGCTTGAACCTGGGAGGCGGAGGTTGCGGTGAGCTGAGATTGTGCCTTTGCACTCCAGCCTGGGCAACAAAAGCGAAACTCCATCTCAAAAAAAAAAAAAAAATTCTGTGCTGAGCCAAGTCAGAAAAAAAGAAAAGAAAATACAAAAAAAAAAAAAGAAAAGAAAAAGAAGAAGAAGTAAAAGAAAAAAAGGAATACAGAATGGGGACCATTTGGAGAGGATGATGGAGAGAGGAGGGCATTTGGCCTTGGCCGCTGCCCCAGAGCTCTTCACTTCCTTGACAAGGGGGAACGATGAGAGGAGGCTTGCCTCAGGATCCCTTTTCTAAGGCTTATTTGACTATCTCACCTCTCCAGGTGTCAATAGGTGCACTGAAAGGATAGGGAGGGATTATTAAAACCTGGAGTCTGGGTTGGCAGGTGAGCAACCTGTTTAGAAAGATCTCCCCAGAACTCCCAAAGGGAGAGCGACACACAGAGATGAGACAGAGAATGATGGGGAAAGAAAGGAGGGCGAGAGATTTGAGTATCGTGAGTTCAGTGCTCTGGGAACATGCATGACTCAAAGAAATGTGTGAGAACAAGGGAGACGGGGACAAGTTTCTGCTATCCTGTCACTCCATCCCTGGACCCCAAACTTCAGTCCTTTGGTACCAATGTCTAGAGAATCCCAGCCCCAGCAGTTCTGATATCTCCTCTCTTCTCTTCCACTGCTTCGCAAGCCCCTATTTCCCAAGCAGCCAAGAGTTCCAGTTAGAAGCAACTGTGCTGGGGTTGGGATGCCTTCCATCCCTCTCCAGGTCCCGCTGACCTACTGCTCCTGGGCACAGAGAAGAGAAAGAGCAACGACAGGCAAGAACCCAGGGGCGACCCATCCAACCACCTGAACCTTGCGACGCTTCTCAGAGGTCCAGATATCCAGTGTTTCCAACTCCTTAGCTTTCCCCAAACCTTCTCAATTAGCTAGACAGGGCAGAGGAATGGAATGGGGTCGGGGAAAGGATGACATCATATACCTGGAAATCTGTTGGTTCCCCCAGGGCAGCCCACCAGTTGAAGGATATTTCCTGGCTACTCCCCAGCTCCTCAGGGCTGCCTTGCCTCGGGAGACTACTCTCTGGTCCACATTCACAGCCTTCTACCCCAAGGATCCCAGAACACCTGGGAAACCATTTAGGTCTTCTCCTACAGGAGTTCCCAAAGATGTCAAACTGCTAAACGAGGGGCAATCTAGAAAGGTCTGAGGTCTCCTAGGAACATACTGAAAGTTGGTGATTTTCCTTCCTCACCTCCTTCACCCTCCAGCCTGACCCTAGAATCCCACTGGAATCCCCCCACCCATCCCACCTTTCAGGCACCTGTGGCAGAGTCCC